ACACACACACACACACACAATACACACACATGCGAAGGTTGTGTCCACCCACCGAGGTCAAGGGGGCTTACCGAATGCAGGATTATAGGGCTGGGAAGGGAACACTAGAGGTCTTCTAGTCCAACCCCCTGCTCAAGCAGGAGAATTACTGAATCCCAGAGTTGGAAGGGAAGGGGCCTCAAGAGGTCATCTAGTCCAACCCCCTGCTCAAGCAGGAAATCCTATACCAAAGTGTGGCTTGTTGTGGATTTTAACTCCCAGAATTCCCCAGCCAGCCATCCGATCTGGAGACCCCCACCCCCACCCCACCCTATAACACCATTCCAGACCAACGGCAGGATAAAGTCCCATCTTCAGGATTACTGGAAGTCCTCGACTTACGACCGTTCGGGTTAGCAACCGTGCAACGTTACAACCTTGTTGAAAATTTGTTTTGGACTTCCACGCGGTCCTCGCATTTCACGACCGCCGTCGTGGTGTCCCTGCAGCCGCGTGATCGTGGTTTGGGCTGGCATTTATGATGGTTACATCACCGTCAGTGGGGAAGCCCGGACGGGAAAGTCTCAAATCGCAGTCACAAGGTGCCTCGGTTAATGACTGCACCGGTTAACGACCAATTTGGCCATAAGCCGAGGACCGCCCACCATTGGGGGGCGAAGTTTATTAATGTTCAGTTTAACTTAATAAATAATAACTATGCGAGAAGAGGGTGAAGTGAACAGGGTTTATTTGTGTATTAATTCCACATTTTCTATCCTTCCGAGGGCTTTATTTGAAGATATAATAATTGCATATTCCCAGAATGGCCGCCAGCCCCCCCCTCTCCCTCCCATGACTCACTGGGCAGTTCCCGCCTTCTGGTCAGACTGGGGTGACTCACTGGTCCTGACTGGGAGTGCCTCTACGTCCACTCAGCTGCTCAGAGGCATCACATGCCGGAATAACTCATGTTTTTTTTTCCCTCAATTGAATTGAATTGAATTGAATTTATTTGTATGCCGCCCCTTTTCCCTGAAAGGGACTCAAGCTTGGCAGCGTTCAGATGTGGGGACTACAAGTCCCAAATTCCCCAGCCGGGAAGCCTTCAACAACCATCTGAACGCTGCCAAGCTTGAGTCCCTTTCAGGGAAAAGGGGCGGCATACAAATAAATTCAATTCAATTCAATTCAATTC